TATGTTTTATTTTTCCATTGCATTTGGGATACTGACATTAATTGGGGGGTGGGGAGAGAGGGGAGCATTTTAGAAAGCCTGACTATTTTAGAGGAATGGAGAATAAATTACTTTTCATTCATCTTCACCTGAAGACAAGGTAAGAATTTTCATTCTGGAAGCCTGCAGAGGAATATTGCTTGTTTGTGGAAAACATGGGAAAACAATCTTAAGAGGGCTTGTCTACTGCCTTCAACTATGAATCCAATAGTGATTGCTTCTGTGGTTAGATTCACAGAACATCTATGAAACTGTAGATGTGTGTAAATGATGAGAAGGTTGTGCAAAATCAGTAATTAAAAGGCCACAGTGCAATAACAAGGAAAATATTTGAAATTGAACTGGAAGATCAAAACAAATTATATGTTTTCATCTACTTAGCATATATTTATTATTTATGGTATTTACATTCTTTTTGGTATGCAATTTTCAGAAGCAACAGAAACATCAGAAGGCAATAACAAATAATATGTAATCAAGAAATACATAAATTGATATTAAATGGTTAAGCAGTCTGGGAAATGCAAAAACACTTGCATGCTGTTATTTTTTACACTTAAGTTTTTTTTTCCTACATAGCAGATGGTCAGAATATTGATAAATGTCCCCATATAGTATGTTGGAAGGGGTGTGTGTGTGTGTGTGTGTGTGCGTGTGTGTATGTGTGTATAATGTTGGAGGCTGTGATTTTATTGTATGATTCTTAGCTTTATTATATACCGTATATGCCGGCGTATAATGCGACTTCCGGGAGCGCTAAAATCGGCACCAAAGACGGGGGTCGTCTTATACGCTGGGTTGCCTTGTACGCCGGCATTTACGGTATGTATGGTGTATCAAAAGTCAAACCCTATAGGAAATTTATTAAATAAATTGCATTACATGTTTAAATTGATTGCCATTTTTTTCTAAACTTTTCCTTATTTGCTTGATGCAAGCCCATTGAACATTCCTAAGTATAGTAACGTTGTCTCTGATGGTTGCAAATTATGATGTGATGGTCTCCTTTAGATCATCTGTTGGCTTATGGGACTTGACTTTTGGTGCATCCTGTATTTGAATTTCACTCTTTCTTTATGTGTGTGGGATTGATTAGGACTTTCTTTTCATCTCGCTATCTCTGTGGCTTCAACATTTTAGAAAAAGGTTGTATCTCTTCAATTTCTGTTTCATCACTATTAAGTACCTCTCTGACATTCTAGGATTGAGTCACAGTTGATTAGATAATTAGTTTTTCTAGTCCAGCATTGGGCCCTGACACCTACCACCTAGGATACTTTAAATTTGCTTTAAAGAAGAAATAGAGCATGTCAATGAAACCTCTGTCTAGATCTGCAGATAGGAAACTTTGTGAGACTGTAGAGAGTAAACAGGATGACCTTGGCAAAGAGAGGGGAGATTTGTTACGAAGGCAATGAGTAGATAAATATTGCTTAAACCCACAGAAGGGGAGAGAGTAATCTGTTACTATCGCCTGTCTTCCTACGATTGTCCATACTTCTATCAGTAAAAGTAGTTTTAGTCTATGTGGCATCTGTTTCTTGGTCTATCCTATAGGGCTGATGGAGACTCTGAGGCATAACTACCAAGAGTTTGTACAATATCTGAAACCCTTGAATGAATCATATGGATGAGAGAGATGCTGCTTTTCAATACTCCTTATATCCACTCAGAAAAATTCTTTATGAGGATACCATGTATACTGGGAATCATTGTAAGATCCAGAAGAATCAGGAATTTCAGATCCCAAGGTGGACAGGGCAGTATCTAATTCAGACCAGGCCTGAAACATGATGGAAATGCAGCTGTAGTTAGTTGTTATTCATTAGGTTGCAGATTAGAACATTCTACCTTGGTCTGAGTGATTTTCATCCCCTAACTTCTGAGATTTTATTTTCATCATTTTTACAGCCCAGTTTTAATGGCGGAGAACTTTCTTCTTCAATAGTTCCATCATATTTATAACAGAAGAGAATGAACCCCCAAAGATTTAGCATTTTAAAAATTCGTGTTGGAAAATATGCCTGTAATTTTGCTTCTTCATTGCTGAAGAGCTGAAGATTCATTTTATGGCTCTATTTTGGAGCTATTTATTATTAATAAAAAGTGGTATGTGACAGGAAGAGGCAACACTTTAAGTAGCACTGTAAAGCTTTCAGTAACTACCATATATTTAATTTTACAGACACAGAGAAGCACTCACTTGCTCAGTTGTGGTCAGCTACTATTTCTCAGACATTTGGTCAATACAGGTAGTCCTCAACTTACGATCACAACTGAGCCCAGAATTTATGTTGCTTAGTGAGAAATTTGTTGAGTTTTGCCCCATTTTAAGACTTTTCTTGCCACATTTGTTAAGTGAATCACTGCAGTTGTTAAAATTAGTAACAAGGTTGTTAAGTGAACTTGGCTTCCCCGTTGACTTTGCTTGTCAGAAGGTGGCAAAAGATGATGACATGGACCCCGTCACACTGCAACCGTCATAAATATGAACCAGTTGTCAAGCTTCTCCCATGGGGATGTTGCAATGATCATAAGTGTGAAAAATGTCATAAGTCACTTTTCAGTGCCGTTGTAATTTCAAAGCCACAAAATGAACCGTTGTAAGTCGAGGACTATCTGCATTAGCTCTGCTTTCATTAATGCTATATATTTACGCACTTGAAAAATAAATTTACCAAGTAATGCTCGTGAGTTTTGAATATTGTAGAACAAACTGCAGTTGTATATTTGGAAGTTTTGTTGTGTAAACTGAACCCACTTTTCCTTTTAGTTATTTTCCTCTCATCTCTGTCTTTCATGGGGAAATAGAGGTTTGCTAATTCAGAGCTTTTGTTGTAAATGATCCCCAGATGAGTATCTGACACTCAACATTCATAACTCTCTTTTTGCTGCAGCTGCAATAGACAAATTCATCAGGGAGCAATATTAGCAGTGCATTTTCAACTTGGAAATTACTGATCTTAGGAGTAAATGGCGGTGTATTCTTTTGGACTCTTGGAAAGACTTTGTTAAGATCAGCTAGGATGCAAAAGACATGTAACTAGTTCCACATATCTGAGGGGTCTTTTAAGTTCGTTTTCTCACATTGTAGGAATTACTCTCATCCTCCGATGCTATGTTGCAAGCTGGTTTTGAAACCAAGTAAATTCAAAGGCAAACTATGGTATTTTGATGGAAAACAGACCTGGAAAAAAAATTATTTACTCATGTACACAGAGAGTTGCAGCCACAGATCCATTTTTCATAGTCCCTTGAGCTCTCCCAAGCTCATATTATTGTAAATTAGTGACAAGCCACTGAATAATGGTGTAATGAACACACATTTCTATTCCATCAGTTTATAAGCAATTCCTTATTGGTTTGGAAATAAATATCACTCAAACAGAAGAAAAATATTTCTTTATACTTTCAAACTTCTCAAGAGTACAGGTGAATGTACCTGTAAGCTTGCATATGAAATACATACATTTCTTTAAAAGAAATTTCAGAATAACATATGAAGTCATGTGAATGCCTAGAACACATGGAATATGAGCAGAAGTAGAGCACACAGAAAGAAATCTGTTATAGTCAAGTTAATTCATTATCTAGGAATGAACGAATGAGTAAATGAACGAGTGAATGAAATGAAAAGAACCCCCCCAAAGAAGTCCTGTTCCAAAAAGTAACTCCTCCTATATCTTCCTTATATTGTACTGATCTTTTTGCTAGGTTTTGTTCCAGAACATCTATTTTATGGGGCCAAAATAGCATTACTTAACAATGTATTTAGAACTTTTCCAGTGAATGGTTTTGCATGATTTAGATATTGCAAAAATTGTTAAAATTAGCTAAGAAGGGGATGAAAAAAATGAATATGTTCCAGGTCAGATGCCATTCATTTTTCCATAATAGAACTGCAGACAGATGTTTCCAATTACACATATATGATGTTAAGGTTCATTGGATATTATATTTCATATCTACTTGTCCTTTACTAATCATTTATAATTATGACATGAAACATTTATCATAGTATTGTGATTATTCAAGCCACTTCTATTAAAAAAATCAAATGGTAAAATGGAAGCTAGAGCCAGAGAGTGAATAAATAAGTTACAGATATCATAATGACTGATTGATACGCTCTGATAGTCTGGTAGTCTTCAGCTCTGGAATATGAATAGGTAAAGACTTACTTTTTATAGAACTTAAGTTCTTTTGTATAAAAGACGATCTTTTATCATTCAAGTACATGGTCATTAAGCTGACTAGACCACTGACATCAGAAATATAGAGGCTGTCTTACCATTGGGGAAATCATTAGTGGGTTTTTACAAAGTTGATGGTTTCACTGATTGCAGATGCCCATGCATTTGTGATTTTTGAACTCCTTCGGGATTTTTCAGGGGCATTATCTGCTCAGGAGACCAAAATGCCTCAGAATCCTTTCTTTGTAAATAACTTTCCATATGATTTCAACCCAACATGCTACTCAATTTGGCTCCAGGGCATTCAAATCCCATATCCTACTAGGATGTTCCAGGAAGAATCAATATAAAGTGGCAAGTATTTTTTAAAAATTAGGTAGTGAAGTATAAATGAATATAACCAATGTTATATGTTGTGAATTCAATGAAGCCTCAGCTGTTAGATAAATGTCATATTCAGACTACTGTCTATTGTGTAAAGATATTATGTTCACATGTCTTTTGGCACTGATGTTACAAAGCATATTTCTCTGACAGCACCGGCTCCCTGTATGCCCATAGTTTCTTGAAGAAAGTAATATATAATTTTGGCAACAGCAAAGCTAGTTGAAACATTGGATATAAAAAATATATTAAGGTTCACTCTGCTTGGATATAGACACATATGCCAGATTAATTCTGGAAGAATGTCGCCTAAAATTGGGCTGTATTGCATTACAAAAAGAAACAAAATAAAATATGCATTTTGATTTGTTTTCTGTCTTTCAGGATATCAATGTATCTCCTCAAACATCACTGGCTTTAAGTTACGATTCAAAAGTGATTAAAGAGAAATATGAACAGCAGGCCACGGATCATCAGGAGTATGAAAATGAACTGTCCATCCGGATAGGTAGAACAGCTTTACATTCAGGCAAGCATCCTGTCATATACCATCAAGTTAATATGATAATAGTGTGCATATGTCTGTGTATGTGCATATACACATCCTTCATGATGTGAAAAAAAATTAAGAAAATGGATAGCTTCTTTCTTTGGTATTTTTCATCTTCTAAATTTCTACCTTAGATCCTAATATTTGCATGTCATATTAACTGTTTACAATGCTCTTTGCTTTGGAAGATGGCTATCCTATTTGGAATGACGAATCCTGATTCTTTGATATTCATGTAGGCTCTCTATGGTTTCAGTGAGTTCCTTGTCTGTTTCCTCTATGACTTCCTTCACTTGGCCTGGTTGAAAGTTACTTATCAGCTGGTGGAATAGTAAAGTATGCTAACTATTCATTGTTAAGCACAGGTAGAAGCCCTCTTCCTTAGTAATTCTTATCAAGATAATAGTTTCCCTGTTGCTGAAATAGTTAATAACTATTAGGGAGAATTATCCTAATTCTAATCCTAATCAGTAAGAACATGCTTGGGTTCACTGGCCCTAGTGCTTTCATGCCCAGTCCATTGATTTTCCCTGCCCGTAGCTCTTTGGCAAGCTGGGAAGGGCATAATAGCCCAATTGACATAAAGGTGGAGGCAAGAATGGATGTTCTTAGATTCTTTCCTGGAATTCAAGCTGTTGAAAGCTGGGATACATTATCATTTTGTAGGTCTGGTTTGGGACCTCAGTGGGACCACTCCATTAGATTAAAAAAGCCAGGGACACAAAAATAAGAATAGAAATTATTCTTTGGAGTCTTCCTGTAAACACAGAAAAATACATTGAAATGGTTTTAAAAATGCCTATTAAGGCCCTACAGGTATTTAGTGTTGATGGAAAACTTGATTTACAAATTTGAAGAATATACATTTAAAAGTGCAGAAAAAATGAAAGTTTTTAAAAAAAATCTAAAATTGTTCAGTAAACACTTTTTTATTATTATTATAATTTTTACAATTTTACAATAAAAATCCCTTTCCCAATCCCTCCCAACCCTCTCCAAAACCCTCACCCATTCTTCCCAGAGCTAGATACAGAGTTAACTAGAACTTAGAAGAAAAAGCTTATAAACTCAAATAAATCACAAACAAATATGATTACATTCAATGAACAAATTATTAAATATATTAACTCCATTATATATTAAAAAAACAGAAAGAGAAAAAGAAGAAAATAAAGAAAATAAAAAAAATAATAAAAGGGGAAAAAAAGAAAAAAAACTAAACTATTCTACACTTCTAAATAATATCTTAAACTTTAAATATAAATTATTCAAAAGCTAAATAATATTTTCTGATATCATACCTATATTGTATAAAATTTATCCATCTTTTCCACACCAAGAGATACTTCTCTTGCGATTGATCTTTCAAAAAAGCCGAAATTTTTGCCATTTCAGATAAATAAGAAACTTTAAAAAACCATTCCTGCAAAGTAGGCAAAAATTCCTTCTTCCAATACTGTCCTATTAACAACCTTGCCACTGTAATTAAGTTTAACATTAAAATAATTTCTTTGTTCTCACAATCAGAGACAATGCCCAACAAAAACAATTGTGGAGTAAATTTTATCCTTCTTTTGAAGATTCTTTGTATATTCCACCATATCTTAATCCAAAAAGCTTTTATGCTTTTACATGACCACCAGATATGATAATAAGTGGCATCCAAACAACCACATCTCCAACATTTAGGCTGCAAGTTTGAGTACATACGAGACATTTTTTGTGGATCAAGGTGCCATCTATAAAACATTTTATAGAAATTTTCCCGTAAATTTTGGGCTTGTGTAAATTTAACATTCCTCACCCAAATAGTCTCCCATATATCTAATGAAATCGGTTCATCAAAATTTTGAGCCCATTTAACCATACAATCTTTAACTAATTCTGCTTCTGAATCCAATTCCACTAACACACCATAAATTCTTTTAATATGGGTTCGGCTTTGATCTCTAATTTGTTTTAACAAATTCTCATCCTCTTTAAGCAAGCCACATTATAATCTATCTTCCACCTTTCCAATAATTGTCTATACTGAAACCATGAATAAATAATATTTTCTTGTACTAGTTCATCCATAGATTTTAATTGCCAATTTTTACCATCCCACTTAAGTAATTGTGTATAAGAAATACTATTCATCTTAACTCCTCTCCTTATTCCTTCTATTGCATGCCATGGAATAGCCCATAATGGAATTCTTGAATCAATTCTATAATATTTCTTCCAAACCTGAGCTTAAATATTCAGAGTTTTAGGAGTTCAGTAAACACTTATGAAAACCCAGTGTTTGTGGAATGTTCATAGAAATGGATTGTCTTTATATCACAAAAATAGTACAAATTAGTACACAATATTTTGTATCACAAAAGATAGTACAAGTTAGATAATACAAGTTAGATTCTGTTGTATAGTTCTGTATTTCCACTTTATATAAAACTTTCACATAGAATTCTAATATTCTGCAATATTTTCCTTTCCATAATTGCTGGACATCATACAGATACAAATGTATTGGCTTGTTTGTTTGCTAAGGTGAATATTGATTACAAGAACCAATTCTACATAGTAGTGGTAACTCTAAAGCTAGAAACCATCTTTTTAAATAATTGCTTCAGTATTTTATTTTCACATAAGAATCCTTGGATTTTTTTAAAATGAGGAATCTCTTTTAAAAGGCAGTTTAAGTTGATTTAAGGGAGTGTTTATCCCATCACAAAGAATGATGGAAATTGTGAGAATTCAGAAGACAGTTCAATCAACTTTCTTGGGTTTCCAGGAATTGAAGAGCATTTATTTTCCAAAAATTAAACAAGTAAATCAAAACCCATCTTCTGCCCTAGCATATTTAGCATGTTAGTATTCGTATCAGAGTTTTATTTGTCAATAAGTATTATGAAAATTCTTGGGGGAACATTTTCCCTACTATGGATTGTTTACTTTTCTTTCTGCCAGAGAAAAAAGATTGCTTTTTTTCCCTGTCTTGCATTTTAATATATGAAAAAGATACAAATTGGGACTGGTATGCTTTCTTTCTTTGGAGACATGTTGTGTTCTGGCCTGTAGGGATGAACATATGCATAAATGCAATGTATCATGACTGTCAAGGAGGGCAAAGACAAAATACTAATCATAAGTTTATTAAGTTTCTAGTATTTCTAAAAGTTGCAGTATGTTTATGTCTACTTTCTTTGAGCACTCTTGGAATTCTAATAGCCCATAGTGGTCTGCAAATATTTGTCACAACATGGAAATGCAAATGAGCAAACACAACCCAATCCTTATGTTCTTGCATGTGAATGAAACAGTATTTAATTATTCCCAAGGGAATTTGTCAGGCTTCCAGGAATTCTCTAGAATTTTTGGACTTGACTTGGTCTAGGATGGTCACTGTTTTCAAATTGAAACTACGGTTAAGTCTGTCCATGTGTTGTGAAATTAAGGAGTTTTCATCATGTCTTCTGACTGCTAGTTGGTATTCATAGAGATGTTCTGCTAGTCTTCTGCCTGTTTGCTTTATGTAGTAGCTGTTGCTGTAGACTTTTCATGGCAGTCTAACAAATTGGACATCAATCGATACATAGACAAACAATTTTGACATACTATGCAAAAGAGACAACCAACAAGCCAAAATAGGATCAAAAAGATCAAAACATCTTCCCACCAGCAATCAACATCCAGATGAGCATAGATTGACACCATGATTAACACCAGACCAGCAATCAAGAAATAAATAATACCTAGTCCAGGGGTAGGCAACCTTGGCTCTTTTATGATTGGCTCAGGAATTCTGGGAGTTGAAGTCTACGAGTCATAAAAGAGCCAAGGTTGCCTACCCCTGGACTAGTCAACCTTAACAGTAAACAGTCAAACCAAAGAACCACCAAGACCACTCCCATCAACACTGACAAGGAAGCCACTAGAATAGAAATTTAGAGAAAAACCCATTCCTTAATAATACTGATGATGTTACCTAGTTTGGGTAATGAAATATCTGCAAGAAAACAACTAAGCTCAGAGAGCATCAAGGAGCCTCACATCAACCCTGAGCTACAAAATTCTCCTTTACGCATGAAAATAATACATGAAAGAACTAAAATATCAGTTTATAAGTCAATCGCCTACAAAATTCTACTCCGCCATTTTGCAGTTCTTGGGCACCCTAAGGTTTTTCCATCTCTTCATTTTTGTGTGAACTGAGGAGGGGCTTGTCTGAGACATTTACTTGAGTCAGTTTCTTGGTTGACTACCTTTGCCTTGGTAGTGGCTCTTCCTCTTGTCCTTCAAGGCCATTCCCCATGCCTTCCCCATCTCTGGCTGTGGAGTTTTTCATGCATTCTTTTCATCAGTGGGGGATATGAGGAAATCCATCTGTAGGTATCTAGCACTGTATCTCTATGGAGGCGCAGAAATCTATCATGTGTCACAAAATCTGGAAAAGCATTATACTATAAGACCAATAATGAAAAAAAATAATGGATTGGCTGGATCCCTGGCTCAAACTCAAAATCTAAAATATAATGCTCAGGATAGACTAAAAAAAACCAAACAAACTGAGAAACGGCAAGGATGAATTGAACAAACATATTAAATTCTTGAATTTAGACTGCCTGATATTTCTTTACAAGGATGCTTGTGAAGTAGCATCCAATCAGGCCAGTAAAAATATAAATATATAAAGTTTTCACCTTATGATGGATTCTGGTATGCACTGTAGAACTACTGGTGCAAGATTACATATTCCTATTTTGTTCTTATGAAAGGTTGGCAGGTAATCTTGCTTGTTGCTGGAGCATAAAAGGCCATTGGCGGGAATATATTTCAGAATTTGAAAATATTCTTTGGGCCTATAAAAGGCAGAATAATGTAAGTTTCAACTGATAGGAAATGCAAAAGGAGATGTTTGTTTTGGAAACAACATACATACATACATACATACATACATACATACATACATACATACATACATACACACACCTAGA